TAAAATAACATTGCAATACCTCTGAAGTATTTAGACACAGGAAAGAGGAGAAATTCTGTCACTGATTTCAGCGTTTATAGGTGAAATCACTTGGTTAGTTTACAAGACTATATATAACTTACTATATATTTATTATATACACTGGGAAGCAGGGGGTTTGTATTAGAGTAAGAAGTGTGTTTCACATTTGTGTTAGTTCATAAATAACTTGTTGGTAACTGTTGAAATGCAGTTCTACGTGGCTAACTGTATTATAGAAGTTTTTATAGGGCATACTGGCAATAATGAGTGACTTCTCAGTTTTTGGGTAGAAATGAGAAATAAAAAAAATTAGATTGCATTTTTGTTAATCCAGTGAAATTAAAAACAAGCAAACAAAACCCAAACCAACAACAACAATAAAAGTTTGGGGTTGCCCTCTCTTATTACAAATATCCTTGTCCTGTAAGGAAAAGATAGCTTTAGTTTTCAAGAAGTTTTAGGTGAAAGGTATTCTTCTTCAAAAATACACTTAACTGAGCCAAAACATGAATGAGAAGATTGAGTCTGTGTAAAAAAAAAAAAAAGTGTGCATTTTTGAGACAAATGTTATTTTTAAGATAGTACTTTAAAATCTAAAGTGTTTGGGTTTTTTTTTTTTAAATGTATTCTGCATCATTCTTAATCTTAGCAGTGGAATGTAGGACTTGATTACTTTTTCGAATGGGAATGAAAATTTAGTGAAATGGACCCAACAGCTTTTTAAAATGCCTTGCTAGTTCAAAGCAGCTACTTTCTGGATAGACAAGGGAAAGTAAAAAAGCAGGCTTAGGAAAACCTTTTGTTATCCAGTTCTAATGGCAATAAAACAGTCCACTCTTCAGATTTTTAAGAGTAGATCTCACTCTCTTGTGCTTGTTTTAATTCCAGGTTAGGTTCTCAACTTTTGAACAGACTGGTTCTTGGTCTGTGCTTTCTTTCACTTGTAAATAAATTGCTTCTTCCTCTAAATGAAGAAGCAAATTCCTTTATACCTGTAAAAGAGGATGTGAGTGTTGGAAGCTGGCTCTCCAGCTCAGATTGTTTGCTCTCCGTCAGGCTGGCCCTTGGGCAAGGATGTTGGTCTTGAGGTCCCACTATTTCTAAATTTCCACAAACTTGCAATGTGTGAAGTGAAGTGGGGAGGGGGGGAAGCAAGCCTTTAAATATGTAAGGTCAGAGTGTTTTCAGGTATTAAATGAGTTTGAAAAAGCAAGCCCTCAGATAAGCTGTTGTATGGGTCATTTATATTTACGGATCGAGCATCTGTTGATGTCTTCCTCTGGTGTTTGTACAGCCTTTCCATTTTGGGGGAGCACTTGGTGTTAGGGCAGGGGAAGGCCACAGCAAAAGGCTGCACGTGAGGAGTTGTGCTGCTTTCCCCACTGCCTAGCATTGAAACATAAAATACCCAGTCGCGTGTGATCTTGAGGCAGAGGGAGTTTTGTTCCAAGTCATAAATGGTGGGGATACAGACATCCCTTGGAGGGAGTGTGGGAGCAAGT